TTTTTTCTTATAATATGATTTGTCTTTTAGAACGGAAATTCTTGACATATTTTTATAGAGTGCAATTTGCACTGTATTTTCATACATTAAATATGAAAATAATTCTATCAAAGCAGCTATATTTTACTTTGATGCATTAAAATGAATGAACTAAAATGGAATATGTATTTTATTTATTAAATGATAATAAATATTAAATGACAATATATTATTTAAATAAATACTTAAATGATTTAAAACATTTATTACAATGAGAAATAATATGACCTAGAGTTTTAGGATGCACTTACTTCATTTCCAGACCAGATCAAAGCAATCCACACTTGAATTAATTGATTCAATTCTAACCGAGTTTCCGTGCATGACCTTTTATCATATTACAAATATAAATAATAAAATATATGTGTGTAGAGTACCAATTGAGCACAGATGATGTGAAAAAATATTGCTTGATCGAGATTAAGAAGTTGTCAAGGAAAAGGTGCAGATCACTGCGAGATTTTGTGGGAATGCCAATGCCACCTGAATCCGATATTCCTTCCATTGAAGACACCATAATTCATGAAGAATTGAAGTATGACAAATCTATTATGGCCGAGACGCATGCAAAATTATTGAAAAACATGAATGAAGAGCAACGAAGTGACTACGATAAAATCATGGCATCTGTTGACGGGACGAGTGGAGGTGTCTTCTTTTTGTATGGTCACGGTGGCACTGGAAAAACATATGTATGGAAGACTTTATCAGCAGCAATAAGATCACGAGGTCAAATCGTGTTGAACGTTGCATCAAGTGGGATTGCATCACTTCTTCTTCCTGGAGGACGTACTGCGCACTCAAGGTTTGCTATTCCACTCAATGTTAGTGAAGACTCAACCTACAATATAAAGCGTGGTAGTCCGTTGGCTAAATTGATTCGAATGGCCAAGTTGATTATTTGGGATGAGGCCCCTATGATACATAGGTATGATTTGCCTATAATGAATTAAAATATTATCTATTCCATTAAATTACAATATCATTTTATTTAAACTCAAAAAAAGATTATATTTATTTTATTATATGTAATAAAATTAGTTTGGTTATTATATTGTTTTTTATCATTATCAACATCATGAATTGCTTTTTAAAGTATTATTATGAATACAATTATTAGTATTATTATTTACTCTATATTATCTTATTGTTTTATTTATTGTTATTAATTACTAAACTTTTAAATTTTCATTCATAAAGTTAAACAAATTACTCCACAAAAGGTCAAGAATACTTACATACGTAGTATTTAAGATTTAAAAAAGGGTGTATAAAAGGTTGCAATAGTAATTTTAGTCATGGTAGCTTATATTCAAGTTTTACAATTTAGTTGACGCGAGTACACAACACTACATTGTTGTAACTTTTATTCTTTTGTTTTTAAATATGTTTTTAAAAAATTAACATTTTTGAACTAACTACATCTTTTAAGAGATTAAATTTAATTATCATAATTGATGTGTTCAAATGGGTCTTAATACTATAAATCAATGTATTATTGTTACTTTTTTATATAAATTTTAACAGACATTGCTTTGAAGCTCTAGATAGAAGTATGAGAGATATACTTTCTTGCTATCATGATGGCAATCCAAAATTGCCTTTTGGTGGAAAAACAATTATTTTTTATGGATACTTTAGACAAGTGTTGCCTGTCATTCCTAAAGGCACAAGACATGATATTGTTCATGCATCTTTGAATGCATCACATTTGTGGCAGTATTGTACGGTGTTGAAGTTAACAAAAAACATGAGACTCAAGAACTTCACAAATGAATCAGCCAATCCAAGTATTTTGAAGCTTTTTGCCGATTGGATACTTCATATTGGTGATGGTGTTCTAGGAGAGAGCGATGATGGAGAAGCAGAAATTGATATACCGGAAAATTTTCATGTTCCAGAAATGTCTGATCCCATTGCATCCATTGTCAACGCTACTTATCCAGATTTTTTGAAGAACATGAACAACATCTCATATCTTGAAGGGAGAGCAATTCTTGCACCGACAATTGATGAGGTAGACAAGGTCAATGACTTCATGCTGCTGCTGAATAGCTCAGAGGAAAAGACATATTTCAGTTCAGATTCAGCGTGTTCCTCAATCTCAGACAATGGGCTCCTTCAGGAAATTCATTCTCCCGAATTCCTTAACGGCATAAAATGTTCCGGTGTTCCAAGTCACGAGTTGAAGCTAAAAGTTGGTGTACCGGTGATGCTCATGAGTAATATTGATCATTCGGCCGGCTTGTGTAATGGTACCCGACTTTTAGTGACAAAACTTGGTGAACATATTATTGAGGCGCAGATGATGTCTGGAACTAATGCAGGTGAGAAATTCCTTATCCCGAGGATTAGTCTAACCCCGACAGATGTGAGGCTACCTTTCACATTCATGCGTAGGCAATTCCCCTTGATGGTTAGCTATGCAATGACGATAAACAAGAGCCAAGGACAATCGTTAGAGAATGCGGGCAATTTTCTACGACGACAAATTTTTACACATGAGCAGTTATATGTTGCAGTTTCGAGGTGACGAGTCCGTCAGGATTGAAGTTCGTGATATGCGACGACGAGGGAAATAGGAAAAAGACCGCAAAAAATGTTGTCTACAAAGAAGTTTTCAATAATTTGTAAAGTTGTATACTTATTAAACTCCAAATATTTTTTATTATGTATTTATTTGTCGTTACTCTCATTCCCGTGATAAATTATAATATAATCTTTAATTTCATTTAGAGGTAGAATGATTTTTTTATACTTATAATATTTGTATCTTACACCCCGTGCAACGCACGAGTGGAATACTAGTTTTTTAAAAAGACTTTCTTTCTCAATCCTATTATCAAGTCACCAAAATACCAATATACAAAATGGTGTCCCGTAAATAACCATGTTATTTAAATATTTAATATATGTATTATCACATCGGCTTAATTGACAATAAGATAAACAGCAACCAAACTTATGTAGAAGCCCTACTTATGCACCCTATATGATCTTAGCATTGAAGTAGAAATGTTCTCATATTTAATTGATACGAAATATATTTGGATGACCCAAGTAAAAAAACCATGTACTTTATTTTTCAATACCTTCCCTGTCCTGCATAATTTGGCCAAATTTTTAGTAAACTTTGAACAATTATTTTAGCTTTTATATTTGTGTAAAGTTTATAAGGTTTATACTTTATGAAAGTATTTTTAACAAAAAATATGTCCACATAATTTTTCATTTTTTAAAAACCCCCGTATAAAAAGTATCATTAGTAAAACTTGATCATCATTGATAAAAAAATCAATTTAACTAAATTTGTGTGATAGAGGGAGTACTTCATAATTTAGATCAGGCCACATAAAGGTTCTCATTTTCCTTTTTTGAATATTGCATACAAAGGTTCTCATTTATGTTTTTAAAAATAGTTAACACTCTTAAATATGACAACTTAATAATCAAATATGAGAAATAATACATCTATAACATCACAGTTATCATCATTAACCTCATTATATTACATTATATTCCTATCAAATATATTTATCAAAATATATTTGAATTATCATATTTAATTAGAGTGAATTCTCCAAATAGAAGTAAAACATAGGCAAAATACAAAAATAGGAGTACCATGTTTTGAATAGGAGTAAATTTAATGTTTGGACAAATAAGCCCCCACCTAGCAACTTTCATTAATAATTAAAACATAAAAGAAATAACATTAATTAATTTATCATAAAATTGTAAAAAAACACAAAACTATATATCAAATAAAATATACTCCGTATTGAATAAAATTATTAAAAATAAAAACTTATTAAAATAAAAAATATTAAATGAAACCTAAAAAAATAAAAAATGAAAAAATTTTGCAGACGTCTGCCGCTGCCTCAATAACCTCTCAGAACCACTATCTTCGATTACCTAAAAAATTCCAACATTTGTCTGAAATGCCATTTTTATGACAGTTTTCAAGAAAATTTGGCATTTTAAAGAGTAAAACTATCATCTTTATGACATTTTCAAAGAAAAATGGTAATTTGCACCCGATCGGAGGTGACATTGTTGGGTGATGGCCGAGGCTGCGAGAAAGGCCAACATAATTTTTTTATATTTTTAATGAGTTTTATCTATTTTTTATTTATTTTTAAAGTTTTCTGTTTTGTTTTAATTTTTATTATTTTAATGCTACGTATATTTTTTAAAATATTTTAGAATTTTTTATAGTTTGCTAAGATCAAATAAGTCATATTTTAGAATTAATTAGGTTAGGGCTATTAAGGGTAGAAAATTAATGTTTACTCGAATTGAAAGAAATTTTAAGTTTTACTTCTATTTATGCAATTATGTTTATGTTTACTTTTATATAGGACAATTTTTAATCTAATTATCGTTTAAATAATCCTGATAGTACTCGGAATGACTTTTCTTCCGCCAAAGTATTTGATTTGCTTGGTCCAAAAGGTCGAATGCCCAACCCCAAGGCCACCCACCCCCGACCCGACAGAATGGTGGGGAGCATGGGCGGAGCTAGGGGTGGGCCAACCTAGGCAATGACACACCCCAAATTTTAAAAATGGCTTAATTTTTAAGGTAAAAAATTTTGTGTAAATTTTTTTCTAAAAATATTTTTTTGCCGGCTCAGTGTCCTGGCTCCGCCCCTGGTGGGGAGGTTAATCACGGTGACTTAGTCAGCAAAGCGGCGGTAAGTCTTATACACGTGTGCATCAAAGGTCCAGCCTTATTTCAGGTTCTGTAACTTCCACATGGCCGTTGCGGGTTTGGAAAGGTATTTGATTTGCAACCACTGTGGGTCGGGTTGTTCGGTTATATGACCACCCCTAATTCTAACTCTTCTTTCTATTATTACTGCAAAAGTAATTAATATTGACCGTTTGATATTTATTTCGGAGCACAATAAATATGAGAGATTATAAAAATACAGAGGTGACATTAATTAACATAAGAATGATAGGATACGAAACGAGCAGAAAGCAGAAAATTTGAATTGGTTTCACACAGTCCAATGTACGTTGTCACTCCAAGACACACTCCGCAACTCGTGACCTTTTGGGAGAGAGGGAAGAGAAAACAGTCGGTCTTAAGAACCAAATTCAGACAAATGCTCAAAGTCTCACTACCTTTCTGGGTTTGGCTTTGAACCCATTTTCTCTATTATCTTAAGCGTAAAGAGAAAGCAATCATAGTATTTAGGGATGTCGTTCTTTGGTTCAAAAAGTGTCGAGCTTTTCAATTCGATGGCTTTCAATGCAGCTTGGCTGCAGATTTAGGCACCCACTCTCCTCACTTTTTAAAGGTCGCCCATTTTTCTTTACTCATTCCTCTAAGGTCTTGGTCTTTTCTTTCTCTCAAAGAATGAATCTTTGACCGGGGTTTGCTTCCTAAGCCCCAATTCTTTCTTTCTTGGTTCCCTTCTGTTAGATCTCTGACACTGACCAAATGAGGCTTCTTTGTTTGATATAGAGTTTATGTGTTTGATTATGCCCAGTTTCTGCATTCTGTTGAATGAATAAATAGCCTGTCTGCATTTCTTCCCTATTTAAGACTCATTTTGTCTGAGTGAGGTGGTTAGCATGAAGTTAATTAGGTATTTATTTTTTGCGGCCTGTTTTGTCTTTGCCCTCGGACAGCTTCCCTCCCAGGACATTTCGGCTCTACTTGAGTTCAAGAAAGGGATCAAACATGACCCTACTGGTTATGTGCTTCAGTCATGGAATGAGGAATCCATTGACTTCAATGGCTGTCCTTCTTCCTGGAATGGCATTATGTGTAACGGTGGTAATGTGGCGGGTGTTGTTCTTGAAGATTTGGGTTTATCTGCGAATATCGATTTGGGCGTTTTCTCTAATCTCACAATGCTGGTCAAGCTCTCATTAGCAAACAATTTTATTTCTGGTAAATTTCCTGATAAAATTGCAGGCTTCAAAACCCTAACTTATCTTGATGTTTCAGATAACCTGTTCACCTCATCTTTACCACCAGACATTGGAAAGTTTGGGTCTTTAAAGAATCTTTCTTTGGCTGGTAATAACTTCTCTGGTCCCATTCCGGATGAAATTACGGGTCTAACCTCGATAGTGTCATTGGATTTTAGCCGTAATTCATTCTCAGGACCGGTCCCATCGTCCCTAACCAAGTTGTCCGGTTTGGTGTACCTAAACCTGTCCAAGAATGTGTTTACCAAGAACATTCCCAGAGGGTTTGAGGCTATGGAAAAGCTTGAGGTGTTTGATTTGCATGGTAATATGCTTGAGGGCCGTTTGGATCCAGAATTCTTGATGCTCACAACATCGACTCATATTGACCTTAGTGGGAATCTCCTTATCAGTTCTGCTTCTCAGCAGAAGAAGTTTTTGCCTCGTATTTCTGAGACTATCAAGTATTTGAATCTTAGCCACAACAGGCTTAATGGGTCACTCATAGGTGGTGGGGGTGAAGCAGAAGTATTTGGGAACTTGAAGGTTTTGGATTTGAGCTACAATCAGCTATCTGGGGAATTACCGGGCTTTGATTTTGTGTATGATCTTCAGGTTCTTAGACTGAGCAACAATAGATTTTCTGGATTTATCCCTAATGATCTTCTCAAAGGGGATTCTCTTGTTTTGACTGACCTGGATTTAAGTGCCAATAATCTAACAGGTATGCTCATATAACTTGTTCTTTTTTCCTAGTGGAGTTTTTCATCTAGTTTCAGCAAGCTTTTTGCCCTTTTAAGAAACTCTTTGATGCTTAAAAACTTTTGCTTTTCTTTTTACTTTAAAAAAGCTAAAACCAGTGTTTTCTATTAAATGTTTAAAACTAGTTTTTTTTGCAAGACATTGTACCAAACTAACACACAAAGAATTACTTCTTTAGCAAACACTCAAATTTTACTTTTTAAAAACACATTTGTTTAAAGACACCACCAAGTATTACGATTAAACATTTTATCTATAGTGTTTAAAATAAATCGCATCTTACAAAAACAAGCAAATAAAAAACTACCTTAGTGCTTTGACTATTTCGACAATGACATTTGTATTCCGTCATTAATTTTTTACTTTTAGCCCTAAAGCAATTGATATAGAGACATTTTTGGTACACATTTTTTAGTTCTTTTAATTTAAAACTCTTGAATATTATGATAATGACACTTTTAGTCTTTTTAACTTTGATTTTTTTAACTTTAATACTCTAGCTATTGTGAGGATAAAAAATAATTGGATGACCAAAAGTTGATTGTTGCAATAGATAAAGAATTGAAAGTAGAAAAAGTCAAATGACTAATATGGAAAATTTCCAAAATTTAAATGCCAAAAGTTAATGGAGTTAATGGTGACGATAATGGAAACACAAAAAGTAGGAAAACTTCATTTTCAATATTTTTTCAAAATATTTAGTTTTCTCCCGCTCTGGCCCGTCCTAATTTCACTTGCATCCCACTTTGCCACTGCTTAATCAGAACTAATTCCATTTATACATCACTGTTCTCAGTCTATTTCAGAAACAAATGTTATTCTTGATTGTTGTTCTTTTTCTATTCAAGACTGCTCCTTCCAGTTAATGATGTGTAAATGATTTCTTTTGCGTTGTGATTAATAACATACATAACATACAATTAGTTGTAACTATATTCCAAAAATCATTGTGCAGGGAAAATTAGCATGATAAGATCCACCACTTTAACTGTTCTTAACCTATCATCGAACGCGCTATCTGGTGAACTTCCATTAGTGACAGGAAGTTGTGCTGTTATTGATCTCTCTAAAAACCAGTTTGAAGGACCACTTTCCAGATTGAAGAAATGGGGAAATGTTGAATACCTCGACCTAAGTCAAAACCGTTTGTCTGGATCCTTCATCGAAGACACTGCTCAATTCATTCGCTTACATCACCTGAACCTTTCCCAGAACACCCTCACCGGTTCTCTTCCTAAAGGCATTACACAGTTCCCGAAACTCACAGAGCTTGATATAAGCTTCAACCAGTTGACTGGACCTCTTCTTACAGCTATTCTGACTTTACCTAACCTTGAAGAGCTTCATTTGCAGCACAATTCGTTCTCTGGAGGCATTGAGTTTCCTCCCCCACCATCCGGTGGGTCTAACCTCCACATTCTTGATCTCTCCCATAATCGCCTTTCTGGGCTTTTCCCTGATGGGTTTGGGTCATTTTTAACCGAGCTTCAAGTGGTTGATATATCTGGGAATAATTTTAGTGGTCCATTGCCGAAAAATCTTCCCACAAATAGTCTTCAAAGATTCAATGCATCATTTAATGGTTTCACTGGCATTGTCCCGGAAAACTTAAGAAAGTTTCCATTATCATCCTTCTTCCCTGGAAACTCAGATCTACATTTCCCAAACGCTCCTCCAGGTTCAGCCCAATCTCCTCGTGGAAGTCACAAAAAGAAACCATTGAAAACTTTGATTAAAGTGGTTGTCATAGTTGCTTGTGTGGTTACTTTTCTAATCTTTGTCTTGGTTTGTATCCTTTTATGCTACATCAAAACAAAGAGGCCCCAGCATCCTGAAATTCACCGCCATGCTATACCAAATCCTTCTGATTTTAGCAGAAGAGAGGGTAGTGGTGGTTTAGTAGTTTCGGCGGAGGATATTGTGACTGCACGAAAGGGCCTGCCATCCGATATGATTATTCCAGATGATAAAATAACTGGTTTTTCTCCATCTAAGACCAGCCATTTCTCTTGGTCACCTGGATCCGGGGATTCATATAATGCTGAAAACTTTGCCAGGTTGGATGTTAGCTCTCCCGATCGGCTGGCTGGTGAGCTTTATTTTCTTGATGATGCAATCTCATTTACCCCCGAAGAACTCTCCCGGGCCCCAGCTGAGGTTCTGGGCAGAAGCAGTCATGGGACATCGTACAGGGCAACCTTAGATAACGGATTGGTCCTCACTGTCAAGTGGTTGAGAGAAGGGGTAGCAAAACAGAGAAAAGAATTCGCAAAGGAGGCTAAAAAGTTTGCGAATATCAGGCATCCAAACGTGGTGGGATTGAGAGGGTATTATTGGGGTCCCACTCAACATGAGAAACTTATTCTCTCAGACTACATTTCTCCTGGCAGCCTAGCCAGTTTCCTGTATGGTAAGTTGTTGTATATATTCTCATCTTTATCCAGCCTTGCAGTTCATATTTCTGTATTATGAAACAGTTTTCTACATTATCCAGTGATTTCTTTATTAGATCATGTTTGTTAGAGTTTTTTTGTACTACGTATAATTTTACTTAAAAAAGTATTGGATTACATGGTCACTCTAGAACTATGAAAAATGCTACCATGATCAGTATAGTCACGGGAAAAACATTAATGTGATAAGTTGATCACTAATAAAAGTAATATTTTCATCTACTACGTATTATTTACTTATATACTGTTATTCTCATTTTTACTTATATATGATGAATTGCAGATCGGCCCGTAAGAAGAGGTCCTTCCTTAACATGGCCACAAAGACTTAAGATAGCAGTCGACGTAGCACGTGGCTTGAACTATCTTCATTTTGACCGAGAGGTCCCACATGGAAACCTCAAAGCAACAAACATACTGTTAGATGGCGGTGACCATAATGCACGGGTTGCTGATTACTGCCTTCACCGCCTCATGACTCACGCAGGAACAGTCGAGCAAATTCTTGATGCGGGTGTGTTGGGCTATCGTGCGCCTGAGCTGGCTGCCTCCAAGAAGCCGATCCCCTCCTTCAAATCAGACGTGTATGCTTTTGGAGTCGTGCTGTTGGAGCTTCTTACTGGGAAATGTGCAGGAGATGTGGTGGTTTCTGGAGGAGAAGATGGGGGAGGCGTTGACTTGACAGACTGGGTGAGGCTGAAGGTGGCTGAGGGCCGTGGGTCTGATTGTTTCGATAGTAGGCTTTTGAGTGAGATGGGGAATCCGGTGGTGGAGAAACACATGAAGGAAGTTTTGGGAATTGCACTGCGGTGCATTCGGTCAGTGTCTGAGAGGCCAGGGATCAAGACTATCTATGAAGACCTCTCATCTATATAATGTAATGGGATATTGTTAGCTAGAAGTGGTATACTGGTATGTGTTAGCTTATTTGGGGATCAATTAGCTCATTGGCCTCCCCTTTTTCAGTGGTAGGAAGGCATGTTAGTGTGGATGGTTGGATGAACTAATTTTGTTAACCATTATTTATGTATGTATGTTGGGGCTGAGTTTCTACTCAACTCAAAATATTCCCTCCCTATTTCTTCATTCTCTTGTTTCTGTCTTCTTTCTAGTAGTATTCCTCATCGTTGGAAATTGGAATACTACGAAGGTAAGTCAGAGGGACCGAAATGGCTCTGTATTGCTGAGAGCCTCTGGCAGGCGACAATGCAAAGGAATTGAAGGAACGGGACATTCACTGCCAGTTTCCTCGTGTCCAAGGAATTGAAGGCAGCATGTTACACACCACTCATGGTTGGAGAAATTAGGCTATTGATCACCAACTATTACATCTTATATTAAAAAGCATTATAATCATTAATCAACATTCAGCACGGTACATCATTTCCCCCTCCAAATATTCCTGTGTTTATAATTCTCAGTCCTACTGACTGCTCGTTTTACTTTAACTATCGTTGTACTTTAACTAGCTCTGATCTCTGATACAATGTTAGACAGTGTTTGCGATTGCTTCTACTTTAAAAAAATGTTTTTAAAATGATATTAGAAAAAGTGTTTACTAATAAAAGTTGGTAGTATTTGAGAAAAAAATGATTCTCAAAAAGTAAAAGTTGGTATTGTTGGATAAAATAAGTGTTTTTTTGTGTTATAGAAAAAGTGAAAAGCAGTGATGGCACGCAACTAGGCATGGACCGGGCCCGGGATGGGCTGGGCTCCGGGCCGGTTCAAGCCGAGCTTTTTTTCCAGATGTTGGGCCCGCAACATGCTCGGATTGATACCGGGTCCGGGCCAACCTGGCCGATCCAATATTGTTTTTGCTTTTTAATTAACCCCTGACCCCCACCCCTCAAACCTCCCCAAAACACCCAATCCTAACCAAGGAAAAGGAAACAAATTGAAAAAAAATGAACCGGGCCCGGCCTGAACCGTCCGGGCCGATTCAAGGGAAACAGGGTCCGAGCACAGACTGCTAGGCCCGCCCAACCCGGGCTAAAGCCTGGAACCGGCCATCCGATCCCGGTCCGATCCAGCCCCACACAGTAGCGGCCCGGTCCAGTTCACGGGCCGGTTTGGCCTGGTTCGGTCAACCCCTACACGCAACTGGGGAGCACCAAATTAAATCGGGTGAACACAAACCTGGCTTTGGTTTGTACGACCTGGCTTGTACGAACTCAGCCAAACACAAGCAACTCCACCTCCGTGATGGCATAGTGGATCAGTGGATGTATCCACAAGTATTAGAGACGAAAAAGCTTCAAATTACATATAGGTGATGGGTGTTTTTGCTGGCCAAGCATGAAAAAATGGCATGAAAATTACTAATGGGTTTTACATTTTCAAAACTATGTCCCAATTTATCTTTTCAAAAAAAGTGACAAATTTGCCTTGGACCCCTGCACTGCGTTTCTTCTCACCCTCCTCTGCGTCCCGAAAGGCGGTGTTTGTACGGTGCCTCTTGTCCGAACGTTCGGACAGGATAAGTTCTCTCTCTCTATATATATGTATACACACATACATACACACACACATAAATGATCAGGTCCGAACGTTCGGGTCTGGGCCTCCGTCCGAACACCGCTGTTTGGAGCGGTTCCCGGTCGAATTGTTTTATGAAAATTTTATGGTATGTTCTTAATCAAATCTAGTTTATCCACAAAACATTTCAGCTCAAAATTCGATCGGGAAGGCCTTCAAATTAGTTTTTGAAGTTGATTGCGCCAAAGTATACATAGAAAAACGAGGTCAACTTAAAAAAATCATTGGAAGGCCTTCCCGATCGAATTTTGAGCTGAAATTTGGTATGGATAAACTAGATTTGATGAAGAACATAGCATAAACATTTCATCAAAAAATTCTACCGGGAACCACCCCGAACATCGTTGTTCGGACAGTGCCTCATGTTCGAGCGTTCTGACAAGATAAGTTCTCTCTCTCTGTGTGTGTGTGTGTGTGTGTGTGTGTGTGTGTGTGTGTGTGTATACATATATATATATATATATATATAGGGGTTGGTTCCTGTGAGAAAGAAGCCTCAGGAGAGAAAAAAGAACAACTAACCTTTGATTAATTGAATCCGATGGTTATTTTTTGATCCTAGTTGTCTCTTTCCTCCACAATTGGTGCCTAACGTGTATGTTTAAAATGGAAAGAGTGCAACCATATAATCAATTAAGGGTACAAAGGTAAACTTCATGGTGGTTGACGTGGGAAAATAAACCACTAAATTAGGAAGTCTTCCTAAAAACTAGGTTGACTAATAACTACTCATTAATTGATCATTCTCTATTAAATGCTTCTGAATTCCTTTCCGTTTAGCATTCTGTAGCACAAAACTCGGATAAATAATTTATAAAATCTTTATCCAAATTTGTGCATTAACTTTGACTCAAAAGTAACAATTGTTGTTGCAATTTTATTGAGATTGAGATGCACATTTATTGCTAACATCGTGCACTTCTTAAATAATTGAAGAAGAAAGTCATATATTATTAAATGTGCATTATTAAAAGAATATAGGTGCATTATGTTTAAAAGTATTGCGATTAGCTCGTGATGCACATTTTGTGTTAATATGATGCAAATACACTATGCACAATTATTGATAACACGATGCACATCAACATCCTCACAAGCTTTGTGTGATGAAATGTTACGTCTAAAACCTACAAAGTGATTCATTCTACCCATTAAATTGCACATTATTATTTAATATTCTCAATAACATTCTCATGTAGATCTTAATTAATAATGCAATTTTACCCTCATGCATGTGTACAATAAAATGGTGCACTATCATATTTGCTATGGTGCTAATATGATTTCTGAAGTGCATTCAAAATTAGGAATTGTGCACAACGGGATCTTCACATTGCATTCAAAACTAAGAATTGCGCACAACGTTAGGTGTGGTTTTGTTGAGAATGTAGCCACACATGATGACATTTTCTTTGTCATTGGAGCAACACCATCTGATTTAAATTTAATTCAGGTACTTATTTCATCTGCCGTTGAATTAATGTTTCAATGCACAATGGTATTGTGTACATGACGATTCTTGCACCTCTAGCTACAATATACTTGTGAAAGATTTAGATCATAAAAGTCATCTCCCTTGAATACTGTGTGATTAAGAGGAAATTCAAGTTTGTGCAAACATACTAAAATCCATGGAGAAACCATTTCTCATTGTTGAAGAAATCAAGGAAAGACAGAAAAAGGAAATAAGAATGCCATAAGTTTTTATGAAAAAGATGGATGAGTTCTCTAGTGGAGTTTTGATTAAGAAGGAAGAAGATGAGTCACGATGGAATCAATCCATGAAATAATAACGTAAACAAGCTAAAATTTTGGGATTGAAATTATGGAAAGAATCGGTGCTCATTAATAGATAAAGAAAATCTCTAGTTTGCCCTCAATTGAAAGAGAAACGCACGAATGATGAAAACCTAATCCAATGGTTGATATCTATTCTTTTTTACTCTCCTAAGATTAAATTCTCACGTGATCTTAAATCTCTCTCTCTCTCTCTCTCTCTCTCTCTCTCTCTATATATATATATATATATATATATATATATATATATATATATATATATATATATATATATATATATATATATATATATATATATGTAGATAGATAGATTTAGGTTCAAATAAGAATATCATCCAGGGAGAGAAATGAGAAAGAATCACAACCCTTGGATCATCTTGTTGTATTTACTCCGTATTATTTTCGACCAAGGCTAATTGAGTAACTTTAACTTCTCTTTTAATGAGAGCACATTAATTGGCTAATCCATGTCATTAAGTACGTATGATTTTCCTTCCTTATAGAATCTTACACTTTTAATTTTTAAACGTAGCTTATCCTCCATCTTAGATCACATATTAAATTTTTTTAAGTTCGATTAAAACTAAATATTACAATTATATAATTTTAATAAATTAATTTTGCATGATGTCACATATGATTATGATGATTATTTATAATAATTTACTTTTACAATATTAATTCTACACACTTGTGTATGATTGCTCACACTTTTTTAAAATGAAATATAAATAAATACCATCAAAATATCTAATTTATTTTATAACAATTATCAAATAATTATTAAAGGGTTCATTTCCATTGAGTTCAAAATTTGTCTACCGAAATCGATTATTACAATACAGATTTTTTATAAGCTAAGTCTAAAATATAAAACTATTTAGTGAACCAAAGTGAAAAATGATCAGTATTGCAGTGCAAACTGTATAATAGTGCACCTAATAAAAATTTAAAAGCATAACATAGAGTATGATGTTTCATATCAAATTGTATAAGTGCATGATGTTTCAAGTATAAGTGCATAGACATAAATATTAAAAAACTTCTGGATAACCTATGCAAAAATGTACACTCATTAAAATAATCATCCTACACTTTGCCTTATTAATTTTTCTCTTTAAAGTTTTCAAATTAATTTTTCATAAATATCAATTCAAGGTGCACAAATTGTTTTTTTATAGTGCAACTTTGTGTTTTACACAATGCACAAGTGAATTACATAAATAATATTCAAAAGTGCACAAATGTACAAGAAATGTGCAAAGCGATTCAATAAAAAGCCCCGTTCAAAAAAGTGCAAGATATTCTAATAACAAGTGCATGAGAGATTCTAGTTGAAAATTCGGTACATTTATAGGTTATGCATTTTTAATAAAATATTAAAAATAAAAGAAACTCACTCTTTATATGCTCAACATCATATAACAAGTGCAAATATTGATTTTTTATAGTGCAACTTTATGTTATACAAAGTGCACAAGTGAATTACATAAATAATGTTTAAGTGCACAAATGCACGAGAAAGGTGCAAAACGATTCAATGAAAAGTGACCTTACAAAAAGTGCAAGATAGTCTAATAAAAAGTGCATCAGATATTTTAGTAGAAAATATGATACATTTATACGTTATGCATTTTTAATAAATTATCAAAAATCAAATAAGTCCACTCTATAAAACGTGAAAAGTAGATATTGATGTTGATTCATTAATATCAAATAGCACATTTTATGTAATTATGTTGC